ATATTGGAAATTGAATTTCATTAGCTGTTTGAGATGGCAGTTTGTTTAGGATAAACTCGATATTTCAGCAGTATGGGAGTCAGTTGTCCGTTCATGCCTCGCCTTTAGCTGCGCCTCCCTCCAGCAATATATAAGCAAGTACCGAGTAGAATGGGAACCAATTTCAGGTAAGCTCTGAACAAACCAACAAAGTCAACAAGTGCGCTCTATAAACAACCGACGTAGCTGGAGTCAAAAAATAAGAAAATTTCGTTTTGATACGCCGTTGCCGTTGACCGTTTTCTTTACAATTTTGAGCTTCAATTTTAAAATAAAATCAGATTTTTTTACAACGTCTATATTGCCCGTGAATCGCAATATAAAAAACAAAACAATTTCGAAATTCTTTCTCCATAAATTAAAGTTTGCAACTGCCTAATATTCACATCCTGTATAACGCCAAGCGATTATTAAGAAATTCGAAGCTACTAATTGAACAAATGTGCCAACAACTGAACCAAGGGTGGAAAATCCAACTTTCCCAATTCATCTACAGTTGAGCTTATTAAAAACCTAAATATTTTTGAAAAATCGCCTAATCCACAAGCCTCGCTTCATTAGACTGGCAATAACAATTGCTTATCCTAAGAACTAATATATAAACAAATTGTTATCCTCAGTGGCCCAGTTTATATGCGCAATTTGTAGTAAACTTGATATACAAACACAACTTAAATCTTTTTTTGATTGCGAACCGATTTTGACATAATATAAACTGATAAAACGTTTTAGTGCAAATGTTACCAACCAAACGTATTGTGAATTGTCTGACCTAGTTTTAGAGTTTACATATCGTTATTCATTTTTAGTATATTTTTTTGCCTTTCCGTTCTGGTATTGTTATCAAATGTGGAATTTCTGAAGCTTTTTCATGTGTGTGGTTGTCATGAATGTATAACCTGGCCAAAGGATGCTATCTTTTGATATAAACCCTTTCTTTTATCCGATATTCCATAGAAGGATAAAATCCTCTTTGCAGCTATCACCACAACTATAATCTTTAAAATTCAAAATTCAATCAATTTGTGAAAAAAAAGTACAGACATTATTCTAGATCTTTTATAGTAATTTGTTTATGTATGTTAGTTTTGTGAGTACGAATCAAAAGTCCGTAAAACTTAAACAACGTCAGGAAAACTGTGATAATAATTTCCAACCTTGACACATAGCAATTTGCATAAACAGCGATAAACAAGATAAAAGCGGGCACAACACGATACGATTCGAATATCTGACGCAAAATTTAGGATTGGGAAACGTTATTTTTCTTTGTATTCGACGATCCATTTCGTCCTTAAAACTATCCTCGTTGTTCGCGGAAAGTTATTCGGTATTCATGCCATCATTAAAACTTGAGAAATATCTCTCTATCTCTCCGCGATCGCAATGCCACATTCTAATGCAGTTTGAGAAGTTTGCCGGCAACGTTATCGTAAATAATCACGATCAGGGGCATCGCTGATATTTCTCCCCCAATAAAAACTTTTAATGCTTACACTCGCTTCAGCGGCGCAGTGAAAACATTCACAACCGGGGTGATAATGATATTGTGATTCCATTTAAGGTTTTATGGCGATCATCAAGGAGTTCTTTATGACGCGTCAGACAGTGAATATTTACACTTTTACCGCTGCTGGAGTGTTTCAGATATTTATTTATCTATATTTACTTGGTAAAATAATAGTTGTAAGTCATATAACAAAAATGCGAAATCGAGTGATAGCTTGTCAAAATTCATTTTTTTAAATATTATTTTTAATGCAGTGGGGTTCATTTTCAATTTCATAAACTGGTATTTTACACACAGCCCTGATTTAGAAAAAAAATCATCGTCACAAAATAAAAATGTTTCAGAAATCTGTCACCAGAGGGCACTTTACCTAGAACATTTTTTGGACTAATATTGCAATATAGAATAGATTGCCTTAAGCAGAATCACAAATCCTCAAAAATTGCCACTCTTGTTATCATTTAGCCACTAATTGCACCTGCAACCTGCAACAGGACGTAATGAAATTTGAAAATGTCATCGTCCCAATCCTTTAGTTTCTATTAAAATAGCTTATTATCCAACTGCTACTGCTACGGAAGACCAAATTGAAATGCAGATCAATATGCACAGAAGACTTGGCGAAAGAGGATCATTCAAACCTGATATTATGAATAAAGGGAGATCAAGACATAAAAGAGCTGCTGCAAGAGAAGAAAGAATACTTCAAAATATGGAGACTAAGCCGTCGTGTAAATTTTTGAAATATGCAAAAATTGAAGGAAAACATCAGCGCCGATTTTCTTTAAATGTATGGGCAGGGATTATAGGAGATAATCTTATAGGACCACATTTCTTTAACGGATCGCTTAATGGGTAAATGTATTTGCCCTTTCTCCAAGAGGAACTACCACCTTTACTGGAAGAGATATCCTTGCCGTGGAGACAAAACATGTGGTTAATTCAAGATGGCGCTCCATCCTATTTCACACGAGGTACGAAGGTATTAAAATCAGGCATTTGAACATCCATGAATAGGTCGCGGCGGAGATCTAGCTTGGCCGCCTCGCTCACCAAACCTTAATTTTTTTGTGGCACCTAAAGTCTTTAGTGCATGAAACACCTACAACAGATATCAATGATCTACGACAAAAAATAAAAAAAACAGTGTTCGACAGCATTTTTTTATATGTATAACAAAATGTTTAGTGGGTATTTTGAAAATGAATTGTAATTAGCGTTGTATACTGTTTAATTCCCGATTATAATAACTATAAAAAAATACGTAAGTGCGAATGTGTATGTGTCAAAAGTCACGACGCGTTCAGTTCCAAGGGTGGCTCGAAGCGGATCAGGTTGTGTCTGATTGTTAGAGCAAGTGCGAAGGCCAACTTGTCAGTGGTCAGGTTTCGCGCCAAGACTGTTTCTACGTGATTTTCGTGGCAGAATAGTCGCTGAAAAAAATGGCAAATTCTAGATTATCAAAGAAACACGAAGACATTATGAGGGAATTCATAGAAATATATAAAGACAATCCGTGCTTGTGGAAGATAAAATGAAAAGAGTGGTTCAATAAAATATCAAAAGAAGAGGCATGCAGGCATGTTAGTTGAGAAGTTGAAAGAAATTAACGAAGATGTAGCAAAGGGAGACGGTATCAAAAAATAATTCAATGCGGAGTTGTTTAAATTTAAATGTTCGATTCTAATCTCAATTCATTTATTAAATTAACATGCGAGTATGTATTAAATTTGAAAAACCACGACTTCACCCATTTCCGTATTTTTCTTTTCTTTTTTTCCACACCTTCAACTGCAAGAACGAGAGAGGTTGTAATTACACACATTTCTTCGACGTTAATTTTGTGCAGAGAAGCAGGTGCACCAACTGGTAAACCTCGACGTTTGCCTGAATAGTGTGTGGCCGAAGTTCGTTTGGCACTTGCTCGTGGACTTATCTGGACACACTTGCGCGCGGACTTGCGTGCATGTGTATAGCCCCGCATTAGAAAATAGTGTCACATGCAGTCCATCCTGCAGGCTGATAAAATTTTGGAATAAAATGCAAAGAATTCACACAACGCTAGATATTGCAATATCTCTGTGGAGTCAACTTTGTTGAAATAATTTTTTTTAGAAAAATTTCGCATTGGCTTCTTTGCTATGCGGGAAACCCAAGACCGAAATCCAATCCGTCAGCTTTAACAATTGGGAATTACAACGATTTTCTTTGGTACCCTGGCTGCAAAATTAGAGAACCATATTCCAATATTTGCAAAGTTTTCGAAAAAGAACGGTTGTATTTTTTGTCCATTTCAGCAGCTTGTAATTCATAATCGGGATGGGATTGCTTCTTTTGGAGAAACTTGACTGTAAAAGTTGGTAAGTATACTTTTTTCTACCTAAAATTTATTCATTTTTTTTTTCTTTTTGATTCATTTTGATGATGATTGGTTATTTCAAGTTTTGACTAGTTACGAAGATTATTATTTGATACAATATATTACGTCCATGAAATTCATAAAAAAATTTGTAATAAGTAGTAGAAACAGCAAAATATATACTGTACTATAAGATTATAGATTAGAAAATTTCTTTAGAAAATTAAGTAAAAAATGTCGAATAACTAAAATGGTTTTCACTTAACAGGGAAACCGTATTAAATATCAACAAAAAATATAAATTTACGAAAAAATCTTATGCGTCATATTTTATAAGTTATGTAAGTTATGTTATAAGTATGTAAAAATAATTAAAACATTTTTTTTGACCAAAATGGTTTAATAACCACATATTGGAGCAGATTCTGGCTTAGTCTTGTTCGTTCTCATTTACCTACTTGTTTATTTTAGTAGTTTTAATTAATAGTTTTGCCAAGTGTAGGTTGTCAATATTACATTTCAGGATGACTAGATTGCTAAGTGGAAATTGGTGCTAATTAAAGTTATTTTTAGTGGTAATTCCTGAGGTAGTTTCTGATAAAAGTAGTGATTTACTCCGCTGGTGCACCATCGTTGAAAAGAAAGTTAATCTGTAATTTGTACCCACAAAGCTTTGGCGTTATTCGTTCATCACACAAATTTGTGGTACCCCAACTTTAATAAATATCTAAATGCATTAAATATTTGGCTCAACTTTTAAAACAAAGCCCAAAATTAGTTGAACACAAGCTTTGTAAATTTATCGTTGTAAAATTTAAAGCGTGTCATAATACATTTTATGTGCGGTTTTTACTGCGCAGAAGGATATTAAAAACGTTTACGATTGACCATTAAAAACTCAACCCCAGGGCCAACGTTATTACTCCCACCCCTTTCCTGCACGGGGAAGAGCACGCACGTTGTAAAAAGAGCAATTCAAAAAAATCCACTTCTCACCACGCGATCGCAATTCAAACGAGATTCGGCAAAACTAATTAGCCGACTTCTTCTGAAAATTTGATCATCCTATCGGAAAAAACCTTTCGTGCCTACCTGTGTGAACAGCCTGAGTCAGGTGAAACAGCAACAGGAACAATGGAAACGTGTTGGCGAATGTTGTCATGTTTCCGAACTACTTCACGCAACATTTTGCAATCTCCTCCTCCGGCCTGCCGCTTAAAGAAACGTCGCTGGTCTGCATTTGAAGGGTCGATACAGGAATTTTACTCGCCGCGATCACAATCTGTAATAGAAACGCTGGTTAAATAATGGCGCTAGAGTTTTTATAAACTGCTGTAACCGAAGAGCGGCTAAACGAAAATCGTGCTTTCTCTTCAAAACCAAAAAAGAAGGTTAAACAGCGATTTTTATGTATGAAACAGCTTTTTATTTGCTTTGGCGGAGTTCTTATAGAGGTGTAATTTTTATTCGTTGGTTAGGTCTAAACTCGAATATGTTTCCAATGTCTGGGCATCAATTTACTTAAGTCGCAATCGATCTATTTAGTATGTTCAACGACGATTTATAAACTATCCTATTTTTAGAGTAGATGGTGACTAATTTGAAAGAAGGGTTGATGTTAAGAGTTGTCGAAGCCAGTTTGATATTCAAGCCTTAGTTCCACGACGCATCTCTGACATTCAACAGACCCACCAATTTTCCATGACTCTCATTACTGTGACTTATATATTTAAGGTGCAACTGTTTCCCTTTTCCTCTTTTATTTGCATACAGGGTGTATATATTTTAGGTGACTCCGTCTTGACAAATTTGAAGAAAAGTGTTTATAAACATGGCCGCAAATGGAGAGCTTCCACTTTACAGAGTGTTGGAAAAATATTAATGAATTTTAGTATTAATAAAATAAAATTATTAACCCCAGTGACATCCATAACATAAAATACACTGCAAATGTCTAGCATCCACCTCCTTACTCGACGAATCATTGACCTTCAAACTCAAGCCCCCGGGACGCCACTGGGCTTAATAATTTCAATAGGATCGAGATAACATTTATTTAGATAACCAATAATTTTTTTTTCATATTTTTTTCCTGTGTCTATTTTGTAAACTCTCTATCTATAGTTCGTTATAGCAGATATTTTGTTTTTGTTTCTGTAATTTATGTATACTTCTGGACAATTTAATCTATTATTATTATTATTCACAATTACACAGGTTTCCTGATGCTTCAAGCTGTCACATCGGTCTACTGACAAGATGGTGAGCTTTCTGATAGCATTGAAAATGCCTTTAGTCCTGCATTCCAAGAATTCCCCTCACATTACTGCACGTTTGTAATATAACCGATTTTTGAATTGGCAAATAAAGTTAAGGTTTCAAAGGTTTTCAAAAATTGTTTTCATCTGTCACATATTTATTGCACACATATTAAGATTACTTGTGTCACAATTTCCTGATTAGGTTTAATCTTAAAATGCATTTCAAAACTTGTGAAGGTTTAAGTAGTGAAAAGGAAAGAAATATTAATAATAACATTAATTATATAATAATATGCTTTATTTGTTTTTCCACACTAAATAATGTTCGGCGTCGTCCCATAGTACATAATAGTGCTCAATTCAACATGAGAAAAAATAAAGTAAAATACAAATAGATAAAATTTAACTAACCCAATAGATAAGGTTTACATTTAAAATTTGTGACAAACACAGACATAATTACTAGAAATTTTTAAACGACCCTCGCCAATCCAGCAACAAACTCGTCCACTGCGTACGGTAGAAGATCCAGGATCTAATGGGGGGCGAAAGTGAATTAAAAAGTTTTATAGCTACAAATATATAGCTTTTATGGGCAAGGGATAACCCATGTTGAAGCAACAATACATCTTCGAAATGCCGTGTATCATAGACCTAATAAAAATAGACCATTATCATCATAGATTCTGATAGACCATCAGACCCTGCAATAGATCCCTAAAGCTATCCCAGGATCCAATCCAATCAGCAGAGGTCCCCCAAAATAGAAGTCCATATGATATTCGTGACGTGTAGGCAGTTCGAGATACATTGTTATGATTGATACATCTTTTACTCTGCGGCTGAGGCTGTAAGTTCGTTGACATATAAAATAAACAATAACATAACAATAGATTTTTTTCATGATCAACAACTTGTGAACGACCCGATAAATAGGCTTGTATTAGATGGAGCCTCTAAAGCCATAGCTTGGCAGTTTATCAAGCAATATCTGATGCGACACATAGTCAAACGCCTTCGAGAAGAATACTGCCGAAGCAGACTGCCCCCCCTCGAGGCACCCGACAATATGTCCCACCAATTCATTTACCGCATCTTTTGTTGACTTTTTCTTCCTAAATCCGTACTGGGATTTTGAGACAAGATTACAATTTTCCAAGAACGATACTCTATTATTAAAGCATATTTCAATAGGTTTAGACAGAGAGGGCACTATGGAGATTGGCCTATAATTGTATGGATCACTATCCTGTCCCTTCTTGAGCACTGTTATTACTCTACTGACTTTTAGTTTCTTCGGGAATGTACTCAAAAGAAAACATTTATTAACAATAATTGAAAGAGTGCACCTATCAGCTTCAAAATTTTGTTACCAAGGCCTAACACATCTGTGGCCGTATTGTTACTTAAATTACTCACTTGTTCTGTGCTTACTGGAACATTGAGACATCATTATGTATATATTTAGTTGTCGCATTGGGCGGGTCTAGATCTGTTTTTTGTAAGTTAGTGGTGTTGTTATTTGATATGTTAACAAAATAGAAGTTAAATTGTTCTGAAGTAAGCAAAGAATTTAATACCTTTTAACTTTTATTATTTGTACTTTTTACAATGCCCCATATTTCTTTCGATTTAATCGCACTATTCTCAATTTTGTCAGAGTAAAATTTAGTTTTGGTTATCTTTATTTTATGTTTGTAGTCTTCTTTAAGTTTGTTAATTATGTTAGAAATTTCCATGTTTTTGTTTTGGCTGTTAAATACATAAAGAAAGTTTAGCATATCTCAGTCAACACTTTGCGGCATGCCTATGCATGACTATACATTCAATTATGTAGCTGAACCGGTCTGAGGTTGGAAAAAAGTGTCAACAAGTGCGCACCTATATAAAGGTTAAATTTAAATTAGAGTAATCCATTAAATTTATTGAATGTTTTATATTTATCAATTTTTGTGATCAGATTAACAAAAAATTTCACAAAAAAAAAACGAGAAACATAAAAACACTAGGATTATTACCACCTTATTAGTTATTTATCTTCCAATTCTTATTAGTCAATATGATAGAGTTCTATTTGATATAGAGGAAATAGATATGTACTAGCAAAAATTACACAATAATGATTATTATTTATTTTACATACTATATGTATTAATATATAATAATATTTGCTTATTTATCCCTTAATAATTTTCTTAATATTAAAAAATATACTTTTTATATACCTATAAATATAAAAAAAAAAACACTTTAAATAATAATATATAAATTTATTATATGATAAATAATATATGCGGGGATACAAATTATTTAGAATTATTAATTTAAATTATTATGTTAAATAGAAAATTAATATTGCGATTTTTTTTCAATTTGATTGCAAATTTTTAGGTTTTAGTTGAATTTTTTTTTTAAATTTACGTAAAAGGGGGATTAGGGAAATTCTTAAGGAAGGTGCAATTAATGAGTCTAGAAAAAAAAATTTAAAAAAAAATGGAAAATTCAATTTAAAGGTAAATTTGATCCAAAATGCTGAAAATTAAAATTTTTTGAATTTTTGGAAATTTTAGTGGGAGTTTTTGATCCGCCCCCCTTAAAAAAATTTAAGTTTATCTAATGCAGAAATTGCTCTGTCTATGTATATATGTTAAAAAAACAACAAATAGCTAAAGACTAGAAAAGGGAAACGACAAACGAATACAAACGCTTCTATGAATGTAGGTACTTATTAAAAATGTTTTAGTTTGTTTCCTTTTCTCTTTTTGACGCATGCAACAACATTGAAAAATTGGCATCTGGTTGAACGCCCTCCTAAATTATTTATTATGTACAAAAATACCTGTCTGCCTTTTTGGCTTTTCCAGACACCACAGATACCTCTGAACACAAACGATATTTTTGCGTACTTTTTTTACAGAGTTCGACAGTTCGAGTCATTGGAAAACTCCCCTTGCATATTTTCGACGATCGTCCGTTAATTTTCGTCGACAAAAGACCCACCGTGTTCGTTTAAAACAGCAAAACCGGATTGCCTCTTCGTGCGGTGGCCAAACTGAATAACCACCGGTCGGATGGGCACTTCGAATTAATTGTATCAACCTCCGCATCGATTGACGCCATTAATCTCGTTTTATTTTAACGCTCTATGGATCCCCGACAATCCCCAGACGGATTAACCCAAAGTGGATTTATTCCGGCTGCGTCGTTGAAATATGACTTCCCGACGCAATCGCTCGAAGAAAATGTGCGGCAGCGATTTAAATTTTCACCGATAAACGCCGTTCCAAAAAACTCCTGCGTTTTCAAATTCAGATGGCTCATTGCAAGTCCAACTTTGTCAAAATCGGTGCCAACTAGAAAGACTTTTGGTGGAAGATATAGAATTAGAAAAGTCCCTTCCTGGTGGCTTCTTCAGAGCGTAACTGAAAAAGGTAAATCTGGTTTTGGCGTTATATTTCTTAAGAACTTTTAACATGTGGGCAGTGATGTTTTTGGTGTAAGAAAAAACAACAGTGTCAAGTGTGGGACTTCTTTCAGACTCTATTGGCAGGTTGTGGTGAAGTATATTTGGTGATTGAACGCTTAATATCATTAATGTGCAAATTATTAGAGAGAAGTTCAGTGACTCGGGCTGAGATAGTTTTACTGCTCTGTAAAGAAGATAGTTGATAACTTATGATAATGGAGAACCCATACAGTTCCCGTCGTTTGTTCAAAAATTTGACCGTTATAAGAAAAATATGTTCCAGACAGGCATTTTTCAATTAAGGGAAATGATGTTGAGAGTTTTAATAATAGAGACTTTAGTAAAGTAAATGTAATGCTTTTTAATTGTTCAATAAAGTGAATTCAGTATCAGTTTTCCCTGTAGCGGGTTGTAATAAAGAAGCTAGATAATTTGCTATAGAATATGTTGGAGAAGCAATGCTGTTCAAAATAGGTCGAAGGGGTAATCCTGGTTTGTGAATCTTAGGGAGTGCGTAGAGACGAGAAAATTTAGACTCATGAGGGGTGATAAACT